ACAGGCCGCCGAGGGCTGAGACAGGAGGCAGCCGGCATGCCCATCACTGGATTCCTTTCTAGTCAGCTACCAAAGGCTAAGCACTAACTCCATGCCCAGCCCTGTTACTCAAGGGGGAGGCGGGGCAGGGTAGTGGGGCCTGGTGCACAGGATTCTTGGTCCAGCCGCTTACTGCACTTATAGACGACAAGGCTGCCCAGCTCCTCCTGCCTCTTTGCAAATAAGCTGAACAGCAATCTGCAGTAAGTTCCCTCGGGAGAGGCACCCCCATGCCAAACACCAAGGCTCCAAAGCCCAAGCCCCTCCCCAGCGGCTTTTCCTGCCACCCAACTCCTGTGGTCCTTGTCCCATGATACGGAGGGAAAGGGAGGGAGGTCAGGAGCCCCGACCACCAGGGCTGCACTGGAAGATAAATCTCCTTTGTCTATACCTGCTCATCCCCATGTACACACCTACCTGCATCTCAATTAACTAACAAGTTGCTTGGGGTAAAGAACGGGTCCATGCACAGGCCTTTACATTTTTTCCAGAAGTCAAGGTGAAAGGAAAATTGTAAGAAAAATACCTAAGTAGGGCTGGGCGTGGTGGCTCACGCCTGTAATCGCAGCACTCTGGGAGGCCGGCAGGCGGATCACAAGGTCAGGAGATCGAGCCCATCCTGGCTAACACAGTGAAATCCCATCTCTACTAAAAATACCAAAAAAAAAAAAAAATTAGCCGGGCATGGTGGCGGGCGCCTGTAATCCCAGCTACTCGGGAGGCTGAGGAAGGAGAATGGCATGAACCCAGGAGGCGGAGGTTGCAGTGAGCCGAGATCACGCCACTGCACTCCAGCCTGGGCAACAGAGCGAGACTCCATTTCAAAAAAAAAAAAAAAAGAAAAGAAAAATACCTAAGTAGTTCTCAGTGGGAAATCCTCAGTTGCTATCCCAGGGAAAAAAGGAGGGCCCCGGCCCAGAGCAGGAGGACAAGCCACATCTCAAGGTCTACAGATTCCAGCCCCTGCTCCTTCTAGAACAATCCCCAAATGGGGCCTGCTTTTCCGTCCTACTTCCCCTGCTTTATGGCTCAAGGCAGGAAGGGCAGTCAGAACGGACCAGCACCTCAGGAAACTCTAGGCAGAGCAGAAGAAGGTGGACGAGGCCTTTGGGATCAGACCTGGGCACCTGCCCCACCTCCTGCCCTCCATGTTCCACCCCACAGAGCTCATGTAGACACCTCCTGCTCACTGCCTCCAGGCCTTTCACAGGCCATTTCTGCTGCCCGGACTGCCCTTTCCTGCCCTGCCCCACTGCAGGGCTAACTCCTAAATGCACCTTCATTCCTCCAGCAAGCCCATATTGAATGCACTCCCTTGATGTTTCTGGAATTGTTTCAGGCTCTGGGACAAAGCAGGGAACAAAGCAAAGCAAATTCCTGACTTCGCAGAGCAGCATATTCTTTCAGCAATTTTCCTTCATCTCTTTTTTTGCCTCGCATTTAGAGTCCAAGTCCCACAAGGTTCCACGTAATACAACATGACTCCACCTCACTCAAAAGTTGTCTTGACCTTCACACCACCCATTCTAGCTTGGTCTCCTCTCTCAAACCATCACCAGCACCCAAAATACTTACCAACGACCCGATCTCCTTTCTTCACACCCATTTTCCTCATTGCTGCTGCAAACAAAGCCACTTCTTGCCTCAGCTCTTCAAAAGTCACCTTCACAATTTCCTCTTTGCCTTCCCCTGGGAAGAGAAAAAGAGTAAATTGAACACAGACCACCGCAAAAAGAAAAGTTGCAAGCCAGACACTGAATGAAAAATCCCACCTGTTTCAATGCAGGTTATTAATCCACACCCAGGGAAAAGAGACGCAGGGAACACAAGCAAGATACAGGTCAACTTAACTTCATGCAGAAGAAAGGCTGTGTGAGAGCCAGCCGAGTAAATACACTAACACCATGCGCTGCACAAAGATTCTCTATTGGGCTGGGTGCAGGGGCTCATGCCTATGATCCCAGCATTTTGGGAGGCTGAGGTGGGAGGATTGCCTGAGCCGGGGAGTTCAAGACCAGCCCTGACAACAGAGTGAGACGACCTCCATCTCTACCGAAAATGTAAAAATGAGCCAGGCATGGTGGCACGCGTCTGTAGTCCCAGCTACTCGGGAGGCTGAGGTGAAGGATCACGTGAGCCATGATCACACCGCTGACCTCCAGCCTGGGCGACAATGCAAGAACCTGTCTCTAAATAAATAAATAAATAAGATTTTCTACTGGGAATGCTTTTATTAACTGAAGAATCTTTTGATTATAATTGCACGGGTTTTTTTTTAATAATTACAGATTCACACGAAGTTTCAAAGAAAGTACAGAGAGGTCCCATGAACCCTCACCCAGCTTCCCCAGTGGTTATATCCTCCACAGTTAGAGTACAACAGCAAAGACAGGAAACAGAAATGGATGCAACATGCGTGTGGTTCCACGAAACAGACGTGGATACAATGTGTATGTGTGTGGTTCCACAAAACAGACGTGGATGCAACGTGCATGTGTGTGGTTCCACAAAACAGACGTGGATGTAACATGCATGTGTGTGGTTTCACAAAACACATGTGGATGCAATGTGCATGTGTGTTTCCAGGAAACAGACGTGGATGCAACATACATGTGCGTGGTTCCACAAAATAGACGTGGATGCAGCGTACATGTGCATGGTTCCATGAAATAGATGTGGATGCAATGTGCATGCGTGTGGTTTCACGAAACAGATGTGGATGCAATGTGCATGTGTGTGGTTCCAGGAAATAGACATGGATGCAAAATGTATGTGCGAGGTTCTTTGTCACCTTACAGAATTTCCTGCAACCACCACAACTGAGACATAGGACACTTCCACCACCCCAAGCCCTTCCCTCCTGTTGCTCCTGTATAGTCATCCCTGACCCCTACACCACCCTCACCCCGGGCAATCACTTACACATTCTCTAGCTCTATAATTCTATCATTTCAAGAACGTTATATAGGCTGACAGAAGGGGCTCATGTCTATCATCCCTGCTCTCTGAAAGGTTAAGGCAGGAAGATCACGTGAGGTTAGGAGTTCAAGACCAGCCTGGGTAAGACAGACTCTACAAAAAATGTTAAAACTAAGGCTAGGCAGGGTGGCGAATGCCTGTAATGCCAGCACTTTGGGAAGCCAAGGTGGGCAGGTTGCTTGAGTTCAGGAGTTCGAGACCAGCCTGGGCAACATAGTAAAACCTTGTCTCTACTAAAAATGTTTTTAAAACATTAGCCGAACATGGTGGTGTGCACCTGTAGTCCTAGCTACTCGAGGTACTGAAGTGGGAGGACCACCTGAGCTCAGGAGGTTGAGGCTGCCATGAGCTGAGATCATACCACTGCACTCCAGCCTGGGTGACAGAGTAAGACCCTGTCTTGGAAAAAACAAAAAAATTAAAACCAGCCAGGCGTGGTGGTGTACACCTGTAGCCCTAGCTGCTTGGGAGGTTGAGATGGGAGGATCACTTGAGCCCAGAAGTTTTAAGGCTGCAGTGATCTATGTTCATACCACTGCACTCCAGCCTGAGCAACAGAGTGAGACCCTATCAAAAAGAAAGAAAGGAAAGGAGGGAAGGAAGGGAGGGAGAAATGTTACATGAAATACAGAAAGTGGGCCGGGCGCGGTGGCTCATGCCTGTAATCCCAGCACTCTGGGAGGCCGAGGTGGGTGGATCACGAGGTCAGGAGATCGAGACCATCCTGGCTAACACCGTGAAACCCCGTCTCTACTAAAAAATACAAAAAATTAGCCGGGCTTGGTGGTGGGCACCTGTAGTCCCAGGTAACCGGGAGGCTGAGGCAGGAGAATGGCGTGAACCCGGGAGGCGGAGCTTGCAGTGAGCCGAGATGGCGCCACTACACTCCAGCCTGGGCGACAGAGCGAGACTCCGTCTCAAAAAAAAAAAAAAAAAAAAGAAATACAGAAAGTTATCCTTTTTTTTTTTTTTTTTGAGACGGAGTCTCGCTCTGTCGCCCAGGCTGGCATGCAATGGTGTGATCTCGGCTCACTGCAACCTCTGCCTCCCAGGTTCAAGTAATTCTCCTGCCTCAGCTTCCCAGGTAGCTGGGATTACAGGCACCTGCACCTAATTTTTGTATTTTTAATAGAGACGGGCTTTCACCATGTTGGTCAGGCTTATCTCAAACTCCTGACCTCAGATGATCCACCCACCTCGAACTCCCAATGTGCTGGGATTATAGGCGTGAGCCACCACACCCAGCCACAAGGTGACCTTCTAAGATTGGCATTTTTCATTTGGTGCAATGCCACTAAAATTCACTTAAGTTATTGCATGCATCAGTAATTTACTTCTAGGCCGGGCACAGTAGCTCACGCCTGTAATCCCAGCACTTTGGGAGGCTGAGGCGGGGGAATCACCTGAGGTCAGGAGTTCAAGACCAGCCTGGCCAACATGGTAAAACCCCATCTCTACTAAAAATATAAAAATTAGCTGGCCGTGGTAGTGGATGCCTGTAATCCACTTCAGGAGGCTGAAGCAGGAGAATTGCTTGAACCCAGCAGACGGAGGTTGCAGTGAGCCAACACAGTGCCACTGCACTCCAGCCTCAGCAACAAAGTAAGACTCTGTCTCAAAAAAAAAAAAAAACTTATTTTTATTGCTCAGTAGAATAATTTTTTAGAAGATTAAAAGTGACACAAGCTCACTGTCAAAAACTTTGATACTGCAGAAAAAAATAAATAAAATGATCGACGACCCTAGTTATCAAAGAAATATATGTTAAAACAGGAAGATACCAATTTTCGCCCAACGGACTGTACAAATAGGAAGGGACAGTGTGTAGCCAGCCTCCACGATGGCCCCCCAGGGACCCCTGCCCGCTGGTATTCACACCTGACCTGGGGAATCGATGGGTTACTGTGGAAATGACAGTGACTTCTGAGCTGTGGTCATAAGAGACTGCAGTTCCCATCTGGCTCACTCTGGGAGATGCCAGCTGCCATGCTGTGAGGTCACTGAGGCAGCCTCTGGAGAGGCCCACATGAGGAGGAACGAGGCCTCCCACCAACAGCCATGTGAGCACATCATCTCAGACGTGGTTCCTCTAGCCTCAGTCGAGCCTTCGGATGGCTGGAGCGCCTGCCAACATCCTCACTGCAACTTGATGAGTGATCACCCAGCTAAGCCACTGCAGGATTTGTAACCCACAGAAACCGGGAGGTAAGGAATGTCTGTTCTAAACTATGGCTTTCAGGTAACCTTCGACAGGAAGATAACTAACACAAGTAAGACTCAGTGTTGTGAAGGTACAGGAAAATGATCTGAAGACAATTTCTACAGTATAGAAGTTAATCTTTTGACCATCACCCTTAATGCAAATATTTTGCTCCTGACTGATCATCGCTTTTCAATTCTATAACATGAATTATCTCTTTGTGTGTGTGGTTTTTTTTTGTTGTTTTTTTTTTTTGAGACAGAGTCTCACTCTGTCGCCCAGGCTGGAATGCAGTGGCACTATCTCAGCTCACTGCAACCTCCACCTCTCAGGTTCAAGTGATTCTCCTGCCTCAGCCTCCTAAGTAGCTGGGATTACAGGCATGCACCACCACACCAAGCTAATTTTTGTATTTTTAGTACAGACGGGTTTTTACCATGTTGGCCAGGCTGGTCTCGAACTCCTGACCTTGTGATCCGCCCGCCTCGGGCTCCCAAAGTGCTGGGATTACAGGCATGAGCCACCGCGCTGGCGAATTATCTCTTTTAGAAAGTGAATAAACATCCTAATTTCCCTTTGGCATAAATCTGGCTTTTTCCAGCCAGGTATTATAGCTCACATCTGTAATCCCAGCACTTTGGGAGGCTGAGATGGGAGGATCACTTGAGCCCAGGAGTTCGAGACTAGCCTAGACAACATGGGGAGGAACTGCTTGAGCCCAGGAGGTCAAGGCTGCAGTGAGTCGTGACTGCACCACTGCACTTCAGTCTGGGCAACAGATCAAGATCCTGCCTCAAAAACAAAACAAAACAAAACAAAAAAATCAGGCTGGGCGCAATAGCTCATGCCTGTAATCTCAGCACTTTGGGAGGTGGGAAGAGCACTTGAGGTCAGGAGTTCAAGACAAGCCTGGCCAATATGGTGGAACCCTTCTCTACTAAAAATACAAAAATGAGCTGGGCATGGTGGCATGTGCCTATAATTCCTGCTACCTGGGAGGCTGAGGCAGAAGAATATCTTGAACCCAGGAGGCGGAGGCTGCAGTGAGCCAAGATGACACCATTGCACTTCAGCCTGGGCAACAAGAGTGAAACTCCATCTCAAAAAAAAAAAAAAGACTCTTTTTTTTTTTTTTTTTTTTTGCCTATTTGCCTAGAGTTGTAGGCATTTGCCCTTTATCCTTTCTTTGCTGCCCTGGGGTAGCCTTTTCGTTACCTCTCCCACATTCCCAGCCCAGAAAACTTTCTATCGTGTGAAAACACTTGGTAAGCTGATAGCTACTCTTCAAAAGCAAAATGTGCTGCGCAGGCAGCTGTTCTAACAATCTCAACACGGATGGGCTAATGCATGTCATTTGCTCCACTCGCTGGAGCATGAAGGCAATTGTGCACATATATGTATCTTTTTTTTTTTTTTTTTTTTTGCATTGCTTTCGCCGGTAGATGCAGTGGCGATCTACTCCCCCCCCCTCCCTTCTCCTCCCCTCCGTAGCGGCTCAGCCCCCCTCGCCGGTATTTTTTTTTTTTTTTCCCTGCCAGATGTCATCTCTGACTTGAGCCTTCGGCTCCAATCTGTCCCACCCCGCCATATGTATCTTTTTAAGTAGGGCATTGCATGGCCTCGACGGGGATTACCCATAGGAGAGATGAGTTCTGCTGAGAACGGCTGAGTGCGGAGCAGAGCTCTGTGAGCACCTGTACCCAGCTGGGTGAGTGAGGAACAAGTCAGGAAAACACGCAGAAAACAAAACACAATGATCTTAAAGCCCCCGAGCCAATAATCGGCTGCTCAGGCCCCTGCTTAAGTAAGGGATGCGATTTGTAAACTAACTGTGATCACTGGCTTGAGGGTCCTTATTCCCACCGCAATTATAAGGAAGGGAAGAGTTCATTAAAAGAAGGGGCTCTCCCAGGCGTGGTGGCTCGCGCCTGTAATCCCAAGACTTTTGGAGGCTGAGGCGGGTGGATGATTTGAGGTCAGGAGTTAAAGACCAACCTGGCCAACATGGGGAGAAACCCCATCTCTACTAAAAATACAAAAATTAGCCGGTGTGGTGGCGCACGCGTGCAACCCTAACTACTCGGGAGGCTAAGGTGGAAGGATCACTTGAACTGGGGAGGTGGAGATTGCAGTGAACCGTGATCACGACACTGCACTTCAGCCTGGGTGACAGAGCAAGACTCCATCTTAAAAAAAATAAAATAAAATAAAAAGGCCGTGCGCAGTGGCTTACGCCTGTAATCCCAACACTGTGGGAGGCCGAGGTGGGCGGATCACGAGGTCAGGAGATCAAAACCATCCTGGCTAACACGGTGAAACCCCATCTCTACTAAAAATACAAAAAATTAGCCAGGCGTGGTGGTGGGCACCTGTAGTCCCAGCTACTCCGGAGGCTGAGACAGGAGAATGGTGTGAACCCGGGAGGCGGAGCTTGCAGTGAGCCGAGATCGTGCCACTGCAGTCCAGCCTGGGCGACAGAGCGAGACTCCCTCTCAAAATAAATAAATAAATAAATAATAAATTAAAAATAATTTTAAAAGGAGGGGGGCTCAAATATTTAAAAGGGAAGAGACGGTGGAAGTGAAGAGGAGAGAGGCTAATGTAAAGGGGTAGGGGGTGTGAAACGGACACAGAATTATAACCCTGCCTCCTTAACCCACCCTCAAGACAGGGCTGGGTTTAAAAAAATAAAAGGCAACTGGCTTGGTTCAGCCAATACTGTATATAACTGAGAGCGAGAGACACCCCGCCCAGTTCAGGCTCCACCCAGACACCCGTATTACCAGTTCTGGGAAGACTGGCTTATTTCATCACTGGGAATCAAGTATATTTTTAGTTTTTTAGTGTGGGGTTTACATTTTTAGTTTTGGGTTTTGGGGCTTTTTCTAAAGAAGATTCACATTTGACTGTTCCCACTTTCCAGGAGAAACCGGGACCTCATGAAGTGTTTGAGACATTGGGTTAAAGCACATGCATTTAAAAGGACCAGGAAAAGAAAAGAGACGCAGCGTCCTCGTTCTCCTCCTCAGGATTACGAAATAGGTGACTGGGTTGGCACCCTAGGGAGGTTCCCACGTGCACTGCAGGGCCTGGGGCAGGCCAGGCTCATAGGAGCCTCTTAGGGATCAATGAAATGTGGTCTGTCCGTACTGTGGAAGATTATTAGGACATAAAAGGAATGAAGTACGGATGCACGCTACGATGTGGATGAACCTTGGTAACACTGTGCTGAGCGAAAGCAGCCAATCACAAAAGGCCACATATCGTATGATCCAATTATACAAAATGTCCAGAACAGGGAAACCCATGAAAGAAAGCAGAGAGGTGGGTGCCAGGAGCTGGCGGAGGCAGGAACAGGGAGTGACTGCTAATTGCTATGGGGTTTCCTTTCGGAAAATGGAAATGTTCTGGAACTAGGGGTGGTGGCTGCACAACCTCTTGAAAATGCTAAACACCACTGAGCTGTGTGCTTTAAAAGGGTATTTCCGTGGTATATGAATTATATGCCAATTGGAAGAAAAGAGCTGGCTGGGCGTGGTGGCTAATGCCTGTAATCCCAGCACTTTGGGAGACCAAAGCGGGCAGATTGCCTGAGCCCAGGAGTTCGAAACCAGCCTGAGCAACATGGCAAAGCTTCATTTCTACAAAAAAACTTAAAAAAAAAAATTTAGCCAGACACAGTGGTGCATGCCTGTGATCCCATCTACTCAGAAGGCTAAGGTGGATCACTTGAGCCTGGGAAGTCGAGGCTGCAGTGAGCCACGATCGTGCCACTGTACTCCAGCCTAGGCAAGAGAGTAAGACCCTGTCTCAAAAGAAAAAAGAAAAAAAGGGGAAAAAAATCTCTAACGCCTACCATTCCCCTTCCCAGAGCCTGGGTCCACTGACTCTCCCACCCGGGTCTGCCCTAGACTAATGTTTGAAGATTCACATGGACACGCTGAGGGCCTGCCTAGTTACACAGCCAGCACACTTCTGAAACACTGGTGTAAACCAAGTCTTCCGAAACAGTAAGGGAACGCATTCGACTTAAAGAATTTAAAGAAATCCTGGAGACAATGTTCTCACTCATCCATCTTTATGAAGCTGGGACTTAATATCATGGTTTTCCTAAAAGCCTGGTACCACTGGTGGACACATCCACAAGCCCCAGAATCTTGCCTCTAACCCACCTCTGCCACTGTCAGAGGTGACCCTGGGGACACAGAGATGGAGCACGGAGCAGTCTCCAAAGTCTCGTTTCCCATGATGCAACCCCTTCCCGTTCTCCACCCAGCAGCCAGGTCACCACAGGATCACCCAGCCCTTGCTCAGAACCCTGAGGATGGCCCACTCCCTCTCACACCTCCCCACGCTCCTGGACCCACAACCGAGGCCCCCCAGCTCAGCCTTCCTGGCTGTTCCCCACAGCCATAGAGCCTCCTCCAGCCCAGGGCCTTCTTCTGGCTGTTCCCTGTGCCTGGGAACATGACTTCTGCAGAGGGAGGAGGAGGAGATTCCAGGTACAGGGGTCAGTCAGAGGAAGGCTGCTGCTGCTTCAAGTTCCGTCAACTCCTCCAAACAGGCCTTCCCTGGTAGCCCTGTCTAAAACAGCCCTGCACCCCACCCCATCATACCTTTTCCATCACGATGCTTATTCTTCCAAGCATATGTTTTCTTTTTTTTTTTTGAGACGGAGTCTCGCTCTGTCACCCAGGCTGGAGTGCAGTGGCCGGATCTCAGCTCACTGCAAGCTCCGCCTCCCGGGTTCACGCCATTCTCCTGCCTCAGCCTCCCGAGTAGCTGGGACTACAGGCGCCCGCCACCTCGCCCGGCTAGTTTTTTGTATTTTTTTAGTAGAGACGGGGTTTCACCGGGTTAGCCAGGATGGTCTCAATCTCCTGACCTCGTGATCCGCCCGTCTCGGCCTCCCAAAGTGCTGGGATTACAGGCGTGAGCCACCGCGCCCGGCCATGTTTTCTTATTTATGGTTAAACCACCATGCTTTCCCCTCAGAACATGGGCCCCTCCCAGGGCAGGGAGCTTGTCTATCTCATTCAAGGTGCTGTCTTCCCGGCACCTTTCACAGAGGCTTTTTTTTTTTGAGACGGAGTCTCGCTCTGTCGCCCAGGCTGGAGTGCAATGTCACAATCTCAGCTCACTGCAACCTCCGCCTCCCGGATTCAAATGATTCTCCTGCCACGGCCTCCCGAGTAGCTGGGATTATGGGCGCCCACCACCACACTTGGCTAATTTTTTGTATTTTTAGTAGAAACAGGGTTTCACTATGTTGGCCAGGCTGGTCTTGAACTCCTGACTTCAGGTGATCTGCCCACCTCGGCCTCCCAAAGTGCTGGGATTACAGATGTGAGCCACTGCACCCAGCCCTCAGGAGGCATTTAATACAGGTTTGAGGAACGAATGGATGAACAGACAGGTGGGCACACAAAGGGCAAGGGAGAGCCAGTCGGAGCCCTGACCCCAGACCACCCATCTACTCTTCCCTGACTGTGTCAAGGCTGAGAACCAAGAAAAACAGCAGTGGAACACTGACCAGCCCAAATGGTATGTCAAGACTTTGCTCCATGGCTCTTCCCCAGGAATGCACATCAGAAGTGCCCATGGGCTTTGAAAATACATGGAAGCCTGGGCCCCAACCCTGGAAGATGTGTTCCAGCAAGTCTCGGTGGGAACTGGACTGCCATGAACTTTAACAACTGCACAGGGTCTTTTGGTCCTTCCCACAATGGCAGAAGGGAGGCCCTGCTCTGTAGCCTGGGCAGGGCCACTCACTGCCTGTTTCCAGTGGTTTGGTTTTTTATGCTGATCTAGGGAGTGAGTGAAGTTTCTTGGAAATATAAGAAAATCGAAATTCATTTTCTGATGAGTATTTTACACCATGGTGTATTAATCTTTCTCTGGCTTCTAATAAAAATTGCCAACTCAGGCCGGGCATAGTGGCTGATACCTGTAATCCCAGCACTTTGGGAGGCCGAGGCGGCCAGATCACCTGAGGTCAGAAGTTTGAGACCAGCCTGGCCAACATGGTGAAACCCTGTCTCTACTAAAAATACAAAAATTAGCCAGGCCTGGTGGTAGGCACCTGTAATCCCAGCTACTCGGGAGGCTGAGGCAGAAGAATCACCTGAACCCAGGAAGCAGAGGTTGCAGCAAACCTAGATCACTGCACTCCAGCCTGGGCAACAGAGGAAGACTCCATCTCAAAAAAAAAAAAAAAAAATTGCCAACTCGGAGACTCATTTTGGCATTTAATATAGACTGTCAACTGTTTCTGTGTACGTTGGCCTTATTTCCATGATTAGAATGTAATATTCTGGAGGCAGAACACGACTTCAGTTTATTTTTGAGTCTTACATCTCAAGATGTCTTAGACACAATGAGGGTCCAATAAGCTCTTGCTGAACATACAATTTAAAAATAATAATAAATTGTTAAAAGCCGCACAGGGGCCGAGTACAGTGGCTCATGTCTGAAATGCCAACAGTCTGGGAAACCAAGATGAGAGCACTGCTTGAGCCCAAGATTTCAAGACCTGCCTGGGCACCATAGCAAGACCCTGTCTCTACTAAAAAAAAAAAACAAAAAAAAAAACAGGCCGGGCGCGGTGGCTCAAGCCTGTAATCCCAGCACTTTGGGAGGCCGAGATGGGCGGATCACGAGGTCAGGAGATCGAGACCATCCTGGCTAACACGGTGAAACCCCGTCTCTACTAAAAAATACAAAAAACTAGCCGGGCGAGGTAGCGGGCACCTGTAGTCCCAGCTACTCGGGAGGCTGAGGCAGGAGAATGGCGTAAACTCAGGAGGCGGAGCTTGCAGTGCGCTGAGATCCGGTCACTGCACTCCAACCTGGGCGACAGAGCGAGACTCCGTCTCAAAAATAAAACAAAAAAACAAAAAAAACAGAAAATCAGCCAGGCATAGTGGTGTGTGTCTATAGTCCCAGCTACTCAGGAAGCTGAGGTGGGAGGATTGCTTGAGCCTGGGAGACTGAGGTTGCAGGGAGCCATCCATGACCATGCCAATGTACTCCAGCCTGGGCCACCACACCGGCCCTCTGTGCCCAGCCTCAACTTTATTTTAAAAGGAAAAGCCAATGGGAAGAGATTCTAGTTACAGTTTCATCACTAACTTTCTCTGTGACACAAGCTAGTTACTTGAGTATCTCCATTTTGCCCATAAAGCATGACCACACACTGGCCCTTTCCCCTCCGCAGCAAAAATAAAGTCCACAGAAATCATCATTAGGTCAGAAAGGTGCCAACATATGGTTTGGAAATCCTGTCTCTCCAACTACGTGGCACCGCATGCACGCACCATCTAGAACTTCCACGGAGGAAACCCGGGGTCTCGCCATCGGGACTCACTTGCAACGTAAAGGGCAACTCTGTCATTCTCTTTGTGCCGCAGGAGGTTTTCCGCATAGTTAAGCCGACTGCCTTTGAACCACTCGGGGACATCTGCGATCCCTTTCGATGTGTCCACAACCTATAGAGAACGACAACACACCAAGACGCACACAACATGAGTCCTCCGCCACAAATCAGCAAAAGTGATTCTGCTTCCCGGGGAGCCAGCTCACTCATGGCCCAGAGCATTTTTAAATCATGTTATGGACTGAACTCTGAACCGGCCTAAAGGCTAGACACTGAAAGTAGGGATTAATGCCAAGGGAAAACAACCATCCCCAGTAAAGTATGTGTTCCACAAATATTCATTAAGCACCTACACAACGAGAGATCCTGAAGACAGAGGACGCCCAACATGTCAGGCTCTGCCCAGACACACGGAAACCAGGAGAGCAAGCTCCGGGACCAGCTGCCCCTTGCCCACAACTTTTGGGAGTTTCAGCCTTTGCTTCCTTCCTTGGGGTGCTGGAACCTTGATTTTTATTGTCAAAGTCCCAAAAGATCAACATCTCAAAATGGTTTGCCCCAAAGAGACAATAAATTCGACTTTGAACGGCAGGACTCCCTTTTCTCAGATATTTATTGATTTACAATGTAAAGAGTCGAAAAGTTTTCTCTAAACTGCAGGTTAAAAAAATAACAAAACTCCAGCTGGGCGCAGTGGCTCATGCCTGTAATCCCAGCACTTTGGGAGGCTGAGGCAGACAGATCACCCGAGGTCAGGAGTTTAAGACCAGCCTGGCCAACATGGTGAAACCCCGCCTCTACTAAAAATACA